GGTGGCTACTGGAACTCTTAGTGTCAGGTTATGAAAATTAGAGAAGGGGAACAAGGATCAGAAATTGAATACATAATGAGGAGAGAGGCTGCGAAATTCACAGGAAGGATCGATGGATGATCGCAGTACCAAGCAGAGGCGCACATCAAATTAACATCTGAGCAACTGCACGACTGGCTCTTAGATTTACGACCTTAAACACGACATACATCTAGAGTACGTAGCACCAACATGGAGCCCACGCCTGATAAAGCATGTCAAGAAACTGGAAAAAAGGCAGAGATTTACAATGAGAATTATCCTAGAGTTGAGGTGAATGAACTACGAGGAAAGCATAATATAATTAAACCCGAAGATAGAATGACCAGGAGAGATATGATTGCGACGTAAAAGATCCTTCGAGGACTTTTTTTATGAAGGGAAGAGGAAACATTGTTGGAGAGACGGGTAACAGGAATACGGAAGCAAAGGAGAAAAAGTAAATAATTTTTAAGTCTAGGGAGATTAGAAAGTAGAATAACCAGCCAGAAGTAGTAGCGGAAGACTCCATACAGAGCTTTAATTAAGAACGGGTATGAAAAAGGCTAGAAACAAATTATACCGGTCGTCTGTAGGTTAAACAGCGGGCCAGGAGCTATATATCAACCTCCACAAACACTGAGTGGTGAGTGCAAATGGGCCAGCATTCAATATTAATATATCAGCAGCGCGCAGGCGTATAACTTTCACTCTTCAGATATATAAATAACACAGTATACAAACAGTGAGTATCAACAAGCAACAGAGAGTAAACAGTGCCGCTCACTGTTGCATCACCAACATGAGTCTGCAATTACTGCAACAAGCTTCCCTCGACTTTCCTTCCCCTCCACCCATTTCTTCCACCCCCTCATCCTTTCTCCCATTTCTACCCTTCCACAACCCCTCCAATACCCATTACTTTCCTCTTCCACCCCTCCGCCCATTTCTTCTTCCCCCGCCTCTTCTCCCATTTATTCTCTCCCCAACTTTTACTCGCTCCGTCTCCCCTCCCCCCTCCACTAATTGAGCTCATAATACTGTGTCTAGTACCTCTCCTCTCTCTTCTTCCTCCCCTCCCCTACAACTAACACTTTCTCTCGTACATCCCTTCCCCTCTCCCCTTCCACCCCTTAAATACCATTCCCCTCTCTCTCCCATATCCCACTCACGTCTCTCCCCTTACATAGCGTCTTCAAGGAGAAAGGAGGAAATCTTCATTAAAACATTTCGCCGAAGCAAACTTTGGTAAAGACCTCAAGGAGTGATATGTTGTCTTAATGGATGTCTGGATCTCAAAATGTAAATCTCTGTTCTTGGTATCTTTGTATTGAAAAATGGTATGATAATACCGACAAGATGTGGGAAAAAACACTTTTGTACAGTTCAAGACATTTATTACAGGAAACGTTCCACCAAGAGTGGCTTCTTCAGTCCTTAAAAAGCCATTCGTTGTGAAACGTTTCCTCTAATAAATGCCCTGAACTGTATATAGATGTACTTTTCCATATCTTTGTACAGTACAACATCGATTTGCCGGACCTTTGGTTCCAAAGCTTCTCCGGATTACTGATTTTTCCGCCTTTAAGAGAGCGCAGTATTCCTTGGTCTTGGGGTGGGATAAGTGATATAGTTTGGTGGTACATACACTACCGCGGGAATTTCAAGTTCCTGCTCGTAAATTTGTATGGTTCCGGACCAAAACAGGTGACAGGTCCTTAGCATCGAACTATAGACCAATAAGCCTAACCTCCATAGTGGGAAAATTTATGGAATCAATAATTGCCGAGGCAGTTCGTAGCCACCTTGAAAAACATAAATTAATCAACGAATCTCAGCATGGTTTTACAAAGGGGCGTTCCTGCCTTACGAATTTATTAACTTTTTTCACTAAGGTATTTGAGGAGGTAGATCATGGTAATGAATATGATATTGTGTATATGGACTTCAGTAAGGCTTTTGACAGGGTCCCACATCAGAGACTATTGAGGAAAATTAAAGCACATGGAATAGGAGGAGAAATTTTTTCCTGGATAGAGGCATGGTTGACAAATAGGCAGCAGAGAGTTTGCATAAATGGGGAGAAATCAGAGTGGGGAAGTGTCACGAGCGGTGTTCCACAGGGTCAGTGTTGGGCCCCCTGCTGTTCACAATCTACATAAACGACATAGATGAGGGCATAAAGAGCGACATCGGCAAGTTTGCCGATGACAACCAAAATAGGCCGTCGAATTCATTCTGACGAGGACATTCGAGCACTCCAGGAAGATTTGAATAGACTGATGCAGTGGTCGGAGAGTGGCAGATGCAGTTTAATATAGACAAATGCAAAGTTCTAAATGTTGGACAGGACAATAACCATGCCACATATAAACTAAATAATGTAGATCTTAATATTACGGATGCGAAAAAGATTTAGGAGTTCTGGTTAGCAGTAATCTGAAACCAAGACAACAGTGCATAAGTGTTCGCAATAAAGCTAATAGAATCCTTGGCTTCATATCAAGAAGCATAAATAATAGGAGTCCTCAGGTTGTTCTTCAACTCTATACATCCTTGGTTAGGCCTCATTTAGATTATGCTGCACAGTTTTGGTCACCGTATTACAGAATGGATATAAATTCTCTGGAAAAATGTACAAAGGAGGATGACAAAGTTGATCCCATGTATCAGAAACCTTCCCTATGAGGATAGACTAAGGGCCCTGAAACTGCACTCTCTAGAAAGACGTAGAATTAGGGGGATATGATTGAGGTGTATAAATGGAAGACAGGAATAAATAAAGGGGATGTAAATAGTGTGCTGAAAATATCTAGCCTAGACAGGACTCGCAGCAATGGTTTTAAGTTGGAAAAATTCAGATTCAGGAGGATATAGGAAAGTACTGGTTTGGTAATAGAGTTGTGGATGAGTGGAACAAACTCCCAAGTACCGTTATAGAGGCCAGAATGTTGTGTAGCTTTAAAAATAGGTTGGATAAATACATGAGTGGATGTGGGTGGGTGTGAGTTAGACCTGATAGCTTGTGCTACCAGGTCGGTTGCCGTGTTCCTCCCTTAAGTCAATGTGACCTGACCTGACTAGGTTGGGTGCATTGGCTTAAGCCGGTAGGAGACTTGGACCTGCCTCGCATGGGCCAGTAGGCCTTCTGCAGTGTTCCTTCGTTCTTATGTTCTTATGTTCTTATCAGTGTCCGGAAAATCGATGTTGCACTTGTATTACCCACATCTGCACACCCTCGGTCCTCTGTTCACAACGTCTGTTGTAATAGTAACTTCAGTTCTGCTGCTGCAACGAAAACTGGGCTCCCGTACTTAATAAACCTATCCACCTCCCTGGAGCCTACTTAAGAGTGTGTTCCGAGAGCCGACTCTGCCATGTCTAGATTCATGAAGTCAGGATATGGTTATAAGACTACAGTGCCTACATACCTCGGAGAATTTTCCACTCAATCTACCTACTGCAACATTGGATAGCTCCTGACGAGGCACTGGCAACAGTGTGAAAGGTCTAGACCTAGTTTTTTTTTTGCAATCTAATACCTTATTTTGTAGTTTGATTGCTATGTCTGATTGTCATAATATATATATATATATTATATATATATATATATATTATTTATATATATAATATATATATATATATATATATTATATAATATATATAAACATTATCTCTCAGTCCACATCAGGATTCGAACCTAGAAACTCTGCATCAAAGTACGTAGTAGAGATGTATCGGATGTGAAAATTTAGATATCTGCGGATGCAGATGTGTATGAGGATGTCTTACCTATTTTGCGGATGCGGATATCTGTTTACGGTAAAATGCGGATGCAAATGTAAGAAATTTTGCGGATGTTCCGCGGATGCGGATATCCGATACATCTCTACGAGGCAGTACTAGGCGTAGAGATGTATATTGGATGTGAAAATTTAGATATCCGCAGACGCAGATATGTATGAGGATGTCTTACTTATTTTGCGGACGGGGATAGCTGTTTACAGTAAAATGCGGATGTGGAGGTAAGAAATTGTGCAGATGTTCCGCGGATGCGAATATCTGATACATCTCCAGTACGTATACCTTCTCCACTCGGCCAGATCCCAGGTCTGGGATGTGGTCAAGTGGAGAAGTTACGACTTGCTTTGATGCAGTGTAGGTTCGAATCCTGCTGTGGCCTGAGAGATAATGTTTGTAAATAATTTAGCCTGTTTGTGAATTGTTAAGCATATATATATATATATATATATATATATATATATATATATATATATATATATATATATATATATATATATATATATATATATATATATATATATATATATATACAAAATTAGAATAAGTGCAAAGGTTTGCAGCAAGACTTGTCCCGGAGCTAAGGAATATGTCCTACGAGGAGAGCTTAAAGGAACTCGACCTGACGACACTGGAGGACAGGAGGGATAAGGGAGACATGATAACGACATATAAAATACTGAAAGGAATTGACAAGATATATAGCGACAGAATGTTTCAGAGATGGGACACAGCAACAAGGGGTCACAACTGGAAGTTGAAAACTCAGACGAGTCACAGGGATGTTAGGAAGTATTCAGTCACAGCGTTGTCAGGAAGTGGAACAATCTGAAGAGTGATGTAGTGGAGGCAGGATCCATACATATCTTTAAGAAGAGGTACGATAAAGCTCATGAAGCAGGGAGAGAGTGGACCTAGTAGCGACCAAGCGAAGAGGCGGGAGCCAGAAGCTGTGACTCGACATCTGCAACCACAAATAGGTGAATACACACACACACACACACACACACACACACACACACACACACACACACACACACACACACACACACACACACACACACACACACACACACACACTGGGTTCGACAACGGTAAATATATAACTGACACTAAATTTTAATAACAGCAACACTCAGTTGCAACATGCAATAAGGAACCATACTAAAAGCAACACTCACTGGGACAGCAACACATTGAGGTCACCGCAACATCTGCAACACAAGAGAAACCAATTTAATCGTCAGAAAACATATGGTCTTAGTGATGTGGTAGAATGTTTCTCTCACACGGATCACTCAAGTCATCAGAGCGATGTTTCTCCCAGAATCTCTGGCTTTTTTTTTTTAAGATAATTTCAGAAACATTTTCACCTAACAACCGGAGAAAAATTGTATAAAATGCCGGCACACGGTGGAAAGAGATACATAAATGCAGCATAAAGCGATCCTTTATTGACAACGTTTTGCCCACACAGTGAGCTTTATCAAGTCAAATTACACGGGCGAAACGATGTCAATGAAAAGTAGTATTAAACTCCATGTCTTTTTCACCGAGAATCTGTTTAATTCATTTCCACACACACACACACACACACACACACACACACACACACACACACACACACACACACACACACAATACCTTCCCAGCTGACCCACAACAACATAAACAATGACCTTAGCCCTGGGAGTTGAACATCCTGCTATATAAAAACCAGCTTTGTGGCTGCCCATATTAAGAACCTCACCCTCCACTACCACAACTGTACGTTAGTGTTCCACAGTGTTCATCGCCCCACCATTACACTCTTCATTTCCTCCCTCACCTCGCATCGTTCCTGTACAAAATAGGCGAAGAACACTCAATTCTTCGAAGTGTTCTGATCAATAAGTTGCGAGCAATCGATGAGAGGCCTCCGAGGCTGAGATAGCACGTAGGCAGCCTCTCCACTCACCCCACTTGTGCGACGCCACTTGTGCCAATACTTAACAGAGGTGAGAGGGTGAGGTGGATGGGGTCAGCAGGGAAGGAGGTGAAACAGTAAAGAAGGTGCAACGGAAGAAGGAAGATGCAACGGAAGGAGGTGGAATGGAAGTAGGGAGGGAACTAAGAGGAAAGGGGAACCGAAGAGGTAAGAAAGAGGAAGGGGAGAAGGAACAACGAGGAAGTAGTTAAATCAAAAAATAAAAAACGAAACCCTTCAGTGCTGAGATGCATCTAGATTTGAGAGTAAATGTAAAGGAACTCACGGGGTTAGCAATTTAATGTCGAACATCTTAAAAGTATTGAAATACTTTACAGAACAGAGGCATGGATTCAAAAATGGTAGGCCGTGCCTAAGAAATTTTATACATACTAACCGCGGGCGTCACCAAGCTACCTCTACTCTAAGAGAACTTCCCCTCAATCCACTCTTGCTGCTCTTGATATATGTGTGTGTGTGTGTGTGTGTGTGTGTGTGTGTGTGTGTGTGTGTGTGTGTGTGTGTGTGTGTGTGTGTGTGTGTGTGTTTCGTGCCGAATAGGTAAAAACTTGCGATTTTGGCTTCAATAGCAACGCTCTTATTGCGGAATAAGGCAAGCGAAAATTTGAGTATGCAATAATTTCGCAAAAATCATTCTGAACCTAACGGAAAAATATTGTGTTTGTTTATTATTAAATTATTGCAAATTTATCTAAAATATATTTAGCTGGATTAGGCTAAATTGAATTGCGCTTGTTATAATAAGATTAGGTAAATTTTCTAAGATTCGTTTGGTACAAAATTATTATTTTTTACATTAACATAAACGAAAAAGTATATCTTTAAACTTATTAGTGAAATTTTTTAAAAACGATTTAATTTTAAATGAGTTCATGTTAATTGACCAATTTTAACTAATCACACACACACACACACACACACACACACACACACACACACACACACACACACACACACATATATATATATATATATATATATATATATATATATATATATATATATATATATATATATATATATATATGAGAGAGAGAGAGAGAGAGAGAGAGAGACAGAGAGAGAGACAGAGAGAGAGACAGAGAGAGAGACAGAGAGAGAGACAGAGAGAGAGAGAGAGAGAGAGAGAGACAGACAGACAGAGAGAGAGAGAGACAGAGAGAGAGGCAGACAGACAGACAAAGAGACAGACAGACAGAAAAGAAAGGAAGAACTGGATGGTTGCATTACATATTGCTAGACTATAAAAAAGGTTCTGATGCAGTGCCACACAGAATGTTAGTTAAAGTGTAGACACAAGCTGGTGTAAAAGAAAATCCATTACCATGAATAATGTCACTGAGAAAATACCTGAATAATGCAAAACAAAGCGTCGCTTAAGGGAACGAGGTGTCTGGCTGGGAGTGTAGCTAGTGGAGTTCCACAGGTATCACCGCTGACATGATAAAATAATGAAAATACAAACTGAAGAGGCCAAATAAATGTTTCAGGAAGACATGGACAGACTTCAGGAATAATTGTTACAGTAACGTAACCGGAACAAAGACAAGATTATTAATCTAGGAGAGAAGGGAAGAAGACCAAATACACAACGAGCTATGAAGATAAACCTCGTGGAAACAACAACAACAATAATAATAATAATAATAATAATAATAATGATCTTTATTTCTACAAGTATATGTACAAGGTATACAGGCCTAGCTTACATACTACTATATATAAAGCCCTTTGTTATGCAGAGCATTTCGGGCAAATTAAGTTAATTTTGTCGCAGGATGCGAACCACACCAGTCGACTAACATCCAGGTACCCATTTTACTGACAGGAGAACATGGACATCAGGTGTCTTAAGGAAACTCGTCCTAATGTTTCCACCCGTACCAGGGATCGACCTCCGGACCTCAGTGTGTGAGCTGAGTGCGTTAGCAATCAAGCTACGGGACACCTTCATCCCAAACGTGCTTTCCGAAAAGAATATGAACAGAACAACAGCAGCAGCATAGCATAAGCTAGAAAACATTAATGAACTAAGACATATACCCTTTCAAAATATTGTGCAACTCACTGATGAGTATTCAGCACCAGTGTAGAACCCTCACTTGCAAAAAGAAATTGAAACTAGAACCTCCAAAGTATTGTATCAAGACTGGTGTCTGAGATAAGAGGAATGAGTGATGAAAAATGCTAGAGTCAGGCCTTATGTGACCGGAACAACGATGACCACAAGGAGACATGATTACGACGTACAAAACACTCAACAGTAGACACAGGGAAAAACAATGGTAGATTATTTACCAGAGATGTAAGTATTACAAATTGGCCTGGGGAGAAATTACATTAAATGCGCCAAGTGACTATAAAAATACATTTTCTCAACATAAAAGTGAAATGAGATCAGCGTGTCGAGAATGAAAAGGCGTGACCAATAACCAGAGCTCACCCACCTTCATTTCATCCATCTAACCGGCAAAGAGTCAATTACAGAGAGAGTTGCATGACCATGGCCCGCCAGTGTCCCTCAACTACGACCCCCTCCCCTCGAACACCAACACCAGTAACTCCAGCTCTGTTGGAACGAATCCTTCGAAGTTCCTATAGCTACTGAACCCTTAAAGGAATACATGATGAAATCCTCAGTCCCTGCTGAAGTCTCCCAGCTCAGGTTTACAGACTTAAATACTATTTGTGAAATCTACCCTGTGCAATGGAATTATGACAGGGAAACACAACTGGTTTTTATTCTTACTATGGTACGAATATACAGAATAGGGAAGCAGTACACTGCAGATGTATCCAATTTTGTTAAAAAAAATTCAAGAGAAAACGTTACTAGATGTAAGACAACATCCTACATCTCTCACCGGTAAGGTTACTCTGAACACCTTCCCTCTACCTGTGCATGTATGCGCACCTATGTATGCGTGACGCATGTTAAGCAATTAATTTAAAAAAAATATTTGCAAAACACTAGAACCGTTTGGCTATTCAGTGCTTTAACATACACCATTTTGTTATATTCAATTTACTCTATTATTATCAACTTGATGCTGTCGTCTTCCACTTATATTATAGAAATTATACCCACAAGGCAGATTAAGCTTTACCAAGTCAATATTCCACCTGCCACAATCCACAGTCATGTTTGTCACTGGCTGTGTCAGCAAATTTAGGCGAAAGGGGAAATGTTCCCACCATTTATGCAAAAGAAGATGCTGGGAATTTAGTCAGGCAAGCACTCTTCAGGAAGAGTGGCACACTACCCAGAGAAGTGGCACCCTACCCAAGGGCACACACAGTTCACTCCTCACCACCTCGTCAAGGTGACCCAGCGTCGCAGAGGAGAAATAGACTACTGCATAATTAAGGGAAAAAACGGTGTGTAATAACCGTTTCCTTAATCATTCTTCTCCCAGCATTTTCACAATCTTTTACACGTTAATTACGGGAAGCGGACAGGAAGAAAAAGGATAAATTTTTAAAATAAAAAAAAAACTCGTTAAATGCAGGAGAGCAATAAATACGCTACAAGTGAGTTATTCTAAACTCACCAATGTACAACCTGGAGTTATATTAAGATCGCCGCTATGCAACCTGGAACTACTTGATAATTATCCTTACACATTTTAGAACTGATTTAAAAAAACAAACAATATTTGCTTATCTTTCAACGGTTATCAGGTCAATACACATCAAAACAAATGTTTAAGTGACTCCTAGACGCGAGTCTAAAGGTTCCCTGTCCACGAGTCACGAGTCCCCAGTCTCCAGGTGAACACGAGTCCCCAGTCTCCAGGTGAACACGAGTCCCTGGTCCCCATGACGAGTCAAGAAGTGAGGGGAGAGTCATGAGGAGTGAGCATTATGCTAATGGTGCCAGGAACAGAGTTTAATGGTGCCAGACCACTGGTAATGGTGCCACCACCTGCGCTTAATGGCCCCTAGGAGAACAACCCTGCTTGAGTTAGCGGGGGATGAGCTCAAGCCTTTGGGTCCAACCTTTTGACCATTGTCGGCGTGACGTGTATATTTCCGGTCTTGCTGGACCTTGTCATTCTCACTTTGCAACATATACTTAAGTTAACTTCCCGTCCAACCTACACACTCATGGTCGGAGACACCTGCTTTAGCTTCAAGAGCTTCTAGGTTTGTAACCTAAGCTCACAACTCTATTGTCAAACCTAGTGTGAGGAACGAGTCAGCGATTCCTAAAAGGGATCCTGACCC